CGTTGGATTCAGAATTTCACAGGGGATTAGCTAATCGTTTTCTCCACATTTGTTTTTCTTTCTAAAATAAATAAAGTCGATACAAACATTTTGCTAGGCTTTAATACTGGAACGGTGGTAAGGCCGTAGATCGACGGACAAATACGATATGGGACTAATTCGGCTTTGCAGATTTTGATGCGTACAGTAAGATCCGGATAGTTCCGTCGGAACGGCCCTGAGTTTTGAAGCCCATAAAGGTACTATTTTCGAGATAACGCAAGGCACACAACCTTACATTAATTGTAGTACTGTCATTGAATACATGTCTCATTTCGTCTACTTGAGGCCCGATTTTGATGTTCGAGAGAGGAGAAGTTTATATTATTTATCGAAGGTGTATCACATCATTGTTAATTTTTCACCAAATCTCTAGATTGAGCCACCAATTCTGAAGGCTTCCTTCTCCTTCAGGCGGGCAAAATAGTCCTATCAACCCGAAAATTCAGTAAAAAAAGTTATGAAAGTTTATTTGCGAAGGTTAAGTCCATGATTACTAAATTTCCAAGTTCCAAACATTAATGAATTTTTAAATGAATGTTTGTATCCTTTGTCGATTATATTTATCGATAAAGTAACGATTGATTTCTTTATCTTATGTTGCGTTGCATTATTTTCTTTTCTTATTAATTTAGCAATTGATCACTTAACAATATTCTGCGCGAATTTTTCACATGGGCCTACTAGTATATTATATTTTACTAGTCCTTTTTTTATTTGTTAATAAATACACATACCCGTATGCATATATTCAGCTTATTCTTTCCATTTTCTTATTTTCGTAAACTAAAAATTAAAATATTAATTAATTCTAGCGCTAGATTAATATCTACCGGAGACTGCACGGAGACCACATACGGCCCTCGAGGCCGCCCCTCTCTTGTGTGCTATATCATAGATGAGGAACGTTGGGGCTATGATAATACTATACATATTTATAAACATGTTAGATTTTCATAAATGTTATTAATTAATTGTTAATTATTAATACTTAATTATTTAAATATTCACAATTAAATATAAATAACTTTAGTGGTCTTATTTATTACTGACACCTTAGTGGATCTAACGAAATTCGTAGTCCTCTTATAATTAAATAAATAACTACCATGTAATTGTGTGTATACATATATATATATATATATATATATATATATATATATATATATATATATATATATATTATATATATATATATATATATATATATATTACTATAAATATATATGCCTATACACGTTGGCTCGCTCGAACCGTGAGTGACGTCGACAGGTTTTATAAGATGAATGGTCTGGGGCCAACAGATGCCAAACATGCCATTCAAGTTCTTAACAATCTCAGTAGTTCTTCACATAGCTGACGTATTGAGGCCGGGTACTGACGTAGTGTACATTATTCTATATCCCTATTGGTTTGATGCGGTAATATTTAAATTGACGTTTCAATGATATGTTTAATCATTTGAAATTCCTAGTTACACTGCAAATAAGTGGTGTAATTATTTGTCAGAATAATCGTACACCTCTTCTGGCGTATGAGTTCTTAGTGTTTATTTATTTTTATTTTTATGATGAATTAGATCGTAAATAAAACTAAAATATTTATTTTTACCAACATAAGTGTTACACTTAAAAAAAAGTTTTACTATTAACAGTTAGCTACCATGAGGTATATTATTATTAATATTATTATTATTGATAACTTTCTTATATAGTTGTACCGAACCCAAGATCTCTCCTTTCATGAGTTATAGTGTTACAGATTATTTTCTTGTATAAAAGCATGCGAGTAGGAGTAAAAGAAATAAAAACTTCATTTATTTCTCTTGTTTATAACGTTAAAAATCGTTGTACTATACTATCGTAGTACAAAAGTACTATTTATAATTTGCGTTTGAAAGAAAGAAATAAAGTAAATTTTATTGTGGGACATATATTCCTCTCATAATTAAATATAATAAACAAAGAAATAACAACTGTATGGCGATTATGAATAATTAAACGACAATTAAAAATAAATTAATTTACTAAGTTGTCTAACCTTAATATTAAAATAAAGAATTATATAAATTTTCATAATATTAAAAATAAAGACACTGTAGTAAACATATGATCTTGAAGTAGACATATGTATTTAAAAATGAATACATACGGGTGAGTTCACGTATTTGTACAAATAAGCAATATGATACATACATAGAGATCGGTATAGTGTAGCTGACATCTCTAAAGTACAAAATAACTTTATTTTACATATATTCGGAAGATTGATTACTGCGGGGATGGAAAAATAAATTATTGAATATTTAATAGTTGACCGTTGCATTATAAAGGAAGGAGATGATCCGGAGTGGCCGTCATAAATAGGCTGAATAGTTCCATAACTATTTTATTAAAAACCAACGTTTCGACCCGACTTTGCAGGTTTTCTTCAGGGAGGTGTGTTCAGCTAGGAGTGTCACTTAGAACCCGAGAACGTATAAGAGAGTTGAACACACCTCCCTGAAGAAGACCTGCAAAGTGGGGTCGAAACGTTGGTTTTTAATTAAATAGTTTTTCCACTATTCAGCCTATTTATGACCGCCACTCCGGACCACCTCCTTTCTTTAAAAATAAATTATATTTAAATGAGGTTTAGGATGAGGATTTCCGTATAGAGGTTGGTAGGGAATTCCAAAACCAGATAGCATGTATGGATTTTTTAAAGGAAACAGTTTTATGAGAAGGAATAAACAAATTTGAGGATTGGGATCTCGTGTTTAACGAATGAACAGAGGAACAAAAGTAAAGAAACAAGAAGGTAAAAAGGTTTTTTGGTTGTAAAGTTTCGGAAAAAGGAGTACATCTAGGAAATATTGCCGTCGGAAAACTGGATAGAGCCACTTCAACGTGGGAGCGCCTGGGGACTCAAGTATAAATCTAATGAAACAATTTATTAGTATCTTTAATCTGATCTCAAGCCCACCAGACAGTCCACCATATATAAGGCAGCCATAATCGAAGTGAGGGAAAATGAGAGAGGAAACTAGGAGCTGACAGATTTTAAGGGGTCACGGAATCTCACGAACTGTGTGAAGGTAAGTGTTAATCAAACATTAACCCAAGTTTTCTTATGGAAGTGTGGAAACGTATGGGTATCCAATTGAGGTAGAGCAAAGGATAAAAATTAATGAGGTTAATCAGATGCTTGGATCCAATGGAGATTGGCTTTGGTATTCTCAACAATCAATTTTAAAACGTTGTTCGCTGCCCAGGTATTAATACTGTCGAAATCTTCTTGTAATCTTCGGATTGCCTCAAGCATCTCGGTATGATGGAAGGAAAGGTAGATTTGGAGATCTTCCGGATATAAATGGTGTTGTGGGTGATGGATGGAATCACGAAAGTCATTAATATAGATGGAGAAAAGAGTTGGGAAGAGCGAAGATCCCTGAGGAACACCATGAGTTAGTAAGAGGGGAGAGGTAGAAATTTGATGATAGTTTCATAAAAATATCCTAGAAGTTAGTTGTTTTGCACCAGTTTTGTTAATATTTGTGATAACTTGCGGTTTTTTACCGACTTATGGGTGTCAAAAAAGTCTAAAATTTAAGCCACAACTTTTTAGGGTTTAAATGAAACAAAATTCGCTATTCTATACAGTGTTAAGATGAGTGCTTTTATTTATTATTTTTTGTTAAAACATGAGAAATGTTTATGGGCCAGTTGGCTTTAGTCGTTGACCTCTACGGGCAATTAAATCATGACCTACTCAAATTAAAAAAAAAAAGATCAGTTAATTTATTAATAGACGAAAACTAATTTATCTAGGCTCAATATACCCATCCAGGGTACCCATCCAATTCGGCGATGGTCTGCGTTGCTCGGATCACTGTGTATCTATAATACATTTAAACAATAAAAGATAAGTCAGGGTCCAGTATGCCTGAGTGTATTAACGCGTGTGTAAAGTACGCGTTGCCCTACAATCTAATAAACCGAAGATTACAAGTTCAAACCTTCGCCCTCTCTCCTGACCTGGGAAAAATCTCGTATAGCCTAAAAAGACGAGGAGAGGGAGAAAATAAAAAAAGAGACATGGAGTGAAAAAATGAGTCAAGAAATAAGTGAGTGAGGATTTAAAAATAATAATAATGATGCATAGTGTAATTCCAGAATTATTTTTCGCTCAGAATGTGTTATATCTTGAAAATAATGAATAATACATTTATAACTAATTATCAATCACTGTAAAAATATATCAAAATAGGTAAAATAAAATGAGGCACACGGTCGTTAAACATGGCAGATATTAAAAATATTTGTGTGAATGGAATTTTGTGAGAAACCAGATTTGTTTACGGAATTGTTTATTTTATTATTATAATAATTATTAGATATAGGATATATAATAATGTTGCTTTATTAGTTATTTAAATAACAGTAGTGCCTGCTGATTGCAAAGTCAAATATTATAACTAATAAATGTGTCATCATTGTATATATTTTCATCTTCTTTTGTATTTAAATTGTAACAAATAAGATTTAAAAATAAAATGTTTTAAGGAATGTCAAAAGAAAAGAGCAATATCTTTTCGAAAAGCGCTGTGGATGGCAGTAAAAAAATCCTTAAAGATCATAATAAATAATATGTATGTAAAAAAGGGGAGAAATAGAGGTTATATTTTATTATTATTATTGGTTGTACAGAAATCGTAAATGAATTAAAATATTCATTATTGTTTTATTCTATGTTCTTGAATGATATAGAAGCATGGATGTTTAAAAACGAAGTCTTTCAATTCTAGTAGATTATACATGCTAAGAATGAAAACATTTTAAGTGAATATTGTTAAAAGACTAAAGCCATCAAATATATTGGAAAGAACTACAACGATTAGAATTTACTATATATTTTTTTTCCGAATGTAGTATCATTAAGTAAGAAGTAGAAGAATAAAAAAAATATTGGTCGACACTTACGAAAGCCATGTGGTCAAATGTGCTCGGCGATCCTCCAGCCTGAAACAATAGAAGCGATAGATCGAAACTGGAGGAAGTATTCTATTGGAAACTATATACAGATATAACTAATAAAAAACTATCATCATTATCTCTAACCACATGCAAATAATCACTAACAACAATAAAGTTTATAAAAGCTTATTAGTTTTGCCAACTAAGCGTCAGAAAATACGGTACATCAACTACAAGAACAATATATACCTACAAAATAGACTTCTTGCCGTAAACATTTGACAGTGTTTCATAAAACGATGGATAGAAAACTCACTTGTTACAGTAGAAACATATCTGAAAACTTTAGAACAGTTCCTCCGTAATTATGTTTTTAATTTTATATGAATCCCTAAGATAGACGACACCTCTACTGCCCAGTGCTACAAGGCAACAGTTTGGGTAATTGATTTTTTAATTTTTATTAGTCAGTGAGGAATAGGTTCTAACAATAAAAACGTAAAAACAATTTTCTGACGCATAGTTGGCAAAAATAATTAGCATTTATCAACTTTACTGATGAAGTGGATTGTGGAGAGGGCAGAAGAGGAGTTAAGCGTGTAGCTGTGTGGATTTCTTCATGGAACATCAACAATAGACAACATTTTTTTCATGAAGATTGTGCTCGATAAATGCCATAAACAAAAATAACTCAGTAGAATAGACACCCATACTGTTGAAATATTGAAAATCACGTTGACATTCATTACCAATTTCTAACCATCGGGAGATTACCGATTTTGTTCGCAGTAAGTGACCTACATTAAATTAGTTGGTACTCAGTTGACGCAAAATTTGATTCTATGGGCTTTTCCTCTTAGGGAACTCATTTCCAAGTTACAGAGCCATTTATAGTAATTTGTTTCATTTTTTGACAAATTTGGTAAAAATCAGCGTTGGTTGACCGTGGTTTTATACCTTACCACGTTACATTCTTCGCTTGAAAAAAACAACAAAAAATATTGAAAAAATCTGTCTTTTTTGGCTGTAAAAAGTTTTCCCTTGGTGGCCCGCTTTTGCAATTTTGTTTTCCGCATGTACCCATATATACCAGTTAAAATAATAAAAACTTTTCTCACATTTTTCGCAATGGATTTCCCGTTTCGATCCTCAAATTATTGGCTTAATATTCTTTAAATCAGCCACCATTTTTGAAAGCAGCGGTTCTGGAACGGTAGACCAGGTTCCTTTTTCTCATAATAACATACACTTTCCTAATTTACTACCAAACCTTCGGCTCCGATCAGGTCGATTTTTGGGCCATGGCTCCAGCCTGTAAAAAAGTCTATGACTGTATAGACAGAAATGTACTGTCTCAAAAATTTAAATTATTGGAATGTCCGCTGAAGATTATCAGATATAAACCGTGCAGTTAGTAAAACACGTGCTCCCTGCATATCGTCAAGAGAACCAAACGCTGTTGCCTATAAAGCTGCTAAGAAGATTCATGACTGAAGTCGAGAGGCTTAAGAAAAAAAAAAAAGAAAAAAGAAAAGCTTATTAGGGTAAGATGATGCCGCAGAACAGCAAAGGTGTTGTTAAAATTCAAGGTGTTTCCGAAAGAAATTGACGTTCAGAAGGGTGTAAAACGGGGAGACTCTCTTTCTCCAGTACTGTTCAATTTTTTATTAAAAGGAGTTATGAGATAGATCCACACAGGGTGAGGAGGATGTATATATCACAGACTGACTCAACAGTTTTTGATGTAGTGATTACAGGAAGTAAATTAAAATCAGGAGCCACCGAGGAGTGTGCGAGAAAAGCAAGATCTGTAATAAATAAAGGAAAAAACTAACGAGCGTTGAGAGTGAGATGGTAGCCAATAGATGTATCGAGGGGATACCACAATTTATGTATCTTGGCACTATTATCACAGGGAATAATATAACAGAAGAAATAAAGGCTAGAATAACTGTTGGAAAAAGTGCAGTTGATTGCTGACAAAAATCTTTCGAAATTGAGATATACCAATCTATCTAAACATGTATTTACAAGACAGTCCTTGCTACCATGTTATGTATTTACAGGGTGTCTCGTAAGTAGAGGGAAATATTTAAATACTTAATAGTAGACATCAAGATCTACAAAAAAAGTTTATATAAGCAATTTACCAATATTTAGCAGAAAAGTAGGAAATTTCAGATTTGTGTTTTTAAGCGAGTCACATTTTTCATTGAATAGGAAACGATAAATGAAAAAATATTTGATTTAAGTAGTTAAACATTACTATATAATAAACTAAAAAAAAATTACTTTAAGCGGAAGTAGAGTTTGCAATTGTTAAAACTATTTAAAGAGCGGACAAACACAGCTTCGGTTAAAAAAAAAAGTAATAATATATTATTACCTCACTTTTAGAAAAACTTCCTCGTTTAATAAGCTTAAAGTCCATATAAATTATGTTGAGGTTTATTTGGAAAAATTTTGAGATTCACTTCAAGTTGTGTAAAGAAATTATGTGATTTTCTATCCAGTAACTTCTAATAGTACTTTTTCACTAAAAGTACGTTTTGAGCAAAAATGATAATTAACTTTTAATTCTTGTTGTTTGCTATTTGATGTATGAGATGGTAGCCATTAGGTTTTTTTATTTTAATTGTAAGTTTTAGTAAGAAATAGTAGGTTTGTAACTGATATATACATATCAATTCCTAGGGCAGAGATCTGGAAGAAAACCAGTTTTCATAACCGCTTTATGTGAAAAATATTTAAAAAATCATTATTATTAACGTTGTTTATATTTATTAATAAATTTTGCCTTTAGGCAATTATGTTTACTATAATATATTCTATATCACGGAAAAAATAAGAAATAAAAGGTTTGCAACAGTTAATTCCAGTAATTTTTTCCAGAAAACACTGGTACTTTAAGGTTACTGGATAGGAAATCACATCATTTCTTTAAACAACCTGAGGTGAATCTCAAATTGAAGTTATAACATATATATATATGCAGGAAGTCGTATCACGGCCTTATAAATATATCGTGCATGAAATATAAGCATTATTCAGTTAACTACTCTTTTGACATTTTGTCAACCCTATAAGAGGAGTCCACACGCAAAGAGATCTTTGTGGTCTGGTGTTAAAAGACTGTAAAAAAGAGTGTGGGAAAGGAAGAAGTACGCTTGACTCAGCTCTGTGAGTTTGTTTGGAGACAAATATTTTTATAAATTTAGTGTTATATCATAAAATATTACAAAGAATGAGAAACTTTTGTCCTCCTGAAGATGAATATTGTTAAATATTTATATTATGTTTTATTCTCAAAGTTAATCTATTTTGTGTTTATTTATAATTCAGTATTAGTTGTCAATATTGTTATTTATTTGCTTTAACACTTCCAATAAAAGTTGTTTTCCTGGAGTGGAGAAGAGTAAACTCTAACCATTAGAAGACAAATTGTGTTTATAAAATTATTTTATATTGAAGAAGATTCTATTCTTCCGTTTTTTTTCCTTATTATAATTAGCTACTTCATTATTTTGTTGTTATTATAATTATTATTTGCCGGAAAGTATTTTATATCTAATTTTTTTTTATCTGAAATTTCAGTTTCTAAACTTAGATATATTAATGTCCACAAAATTTTAGGAGTATTTAAATTTAAGGAGTCTTTTATATATGTATATATTGTTTATTTATTTTGTACGGTATGATTTAAGGGGAGTCGAAATTTAAGAAGGAAATGAGGTAGATGGCAGAAAAAAAAACGGTGTCAACGTGTGCCTAAATGCATTTTTGGCTAGTGGCCAGAAAACGGAATCCAGATTTGGCAGATTTGGCTGAAAGACAATAGTTGCTTAAGTAGCTTCGACAATGTTCCAAAGGCACGCCAGTTTTATCACAAAGGTGTCCAAACAAGTTAAAGGGACGGGGATTTTTTTTTCCGTGTTATGTTTATCTGTTTTGATATCAGATATCTAGTTCTAATTCCGAATACTTTTAATTTGAATTCTTAATTTTTTTAAATATCTTATATGATTTGTTTAAAATGTGTACTGATAAAATATATATGTTAATAATTTGCATGATAACTTCTATTATTTGTATGTAAGATGTCATATAATAATCAGGAAAAATATGTTATTAAAATTAAATCCAATTTTTGGAAACGCATATTATCATTAAAAAAAGCTTTATATTTACTTAAAAGTATTTTTCCTGTTGAATTTTTTTAAGTGTCTGGATACTTTCCTCTAAATAGGAAATATGATGAAATAATTAGTTAAAATGAATATAATAATAATAATACTTTATTTATTCTGGGACGAGTCCCTTTAGAATAATACAGAAAGAAAGAAATATGAGCTAATTAGCCTCAGAGATACATAAATAAAGATACAGAGTAATTAAACAGTCATAATAGTAAAATTAAAAATTATAAGCTACTTTCTAATTTTAATCAGTTAATAATAAAAATTAAAAAAAAAAGGATGAAGTAAAAATAATGAAGAACGAGCTGATGATTTATATACAAATTTACATTTGTATCTATTTACAATTTCATGGGAATTTGATGAATAAGAAATGATTGAACAGGCGTCATTTAAAGGTAGAAAGGGTATTAGATTGTTGAATGTGAGAATTGATGGAGTTCCAAAGGGATGAGGGTCGGATAATGAAAGATCTTTCGAAAGCAGCGGTTCGGTGTGCCCTTATGTAAAAGTCAGAAGACCGGGAACGAATAGAGGATTTGAATTGAAGGAGCTCAGAGATGTATGAAGGACGGTGTGATTGGATAACTTGAAAGAGGAAGGATACCAGGATATATTTACGACGGTAGGAAAGATAAAGCCACTTCAACTCTGCATAAAAATGGGAAACAGAGGCGTCCCTTGGTATCCCGAAGATGAAGCGTACAAAGCAATTTATTAAACGTTTTAGTTAAGCCTCGAGATCCCCAGAGACACCCCATATATCGAACAGCAATAGTCAAAGTGGGGGGAAGATTAAATAAGTGACTAGGAGCCTACGCTTTTCAAATGGAAATAGGTGACGAGAAT